ATTAATAAATAAATAACATGAAATTCTGGTGTCCTGCCACCAGCAATCTCAGTTCCTGTGGTCAAAACATACATGGATTATATTTCGAACCTTGGCATTGTACATTTGTGTTGTGATTCGACAAGTCTCTGAAAAGAGAACGTCCGGAAGAGACAACTAATGACAACTGAAGTTCAAGATATGAATTTGGTCTGGTCTATCAACGTAATCGAATCTCGGTTTCATATAAAATTTAATCAAACTCAAACAAAAGGATTCAGAATTGAAAGACGCCACATGAAGACGATGAACAGATAGAAGGTGGTACAACACAGAACGAAGTTCTTCTCAAGAAACTAATGCTTATTCAGTTCGTCCTGTTCTCAGAATCATACACAATCATTCTGCCACAAAACTTTCTATTTTCCTAGATATTCTAAACATTTCAACTTTGTTTACGACTGCTAGCTGAACGACGAAACACCAGAGAAACAGATAAGGAAACGCAGTGGCAAGAAGTTTCCTTTTGTTGAAACAATTACAGTACAGGTTTTAAACAATTTTTACCTTCTTGACAAACTAACAGTCGCTCAGTTAGTCTGGAAATGTTCTGCCTTTCATACAACTGGAATGTTTAAAACTTTGTCATTGATCCATGTCCCGAGACACAATTTCATTTAATAATTCTCGCCCCGTTTTCCCTCTCATCAATCTTAATACTGCAATTCCATCTAACCTTAGTTGACTCAACGATTCACACTAAAAATGCATTCATTGGTAGGGCATGAACTTGCGTTACTTAAATATAACATTATCAACATTAGATATATGCGACTAGAAATTTATACCTATTGTTTTATAAGCTCTGCCAAGAGCATTTTATTTTATATGGACACGAAACTTCATCTCTCACTCTCCCTCATTAAATAAAACATTAAGGAAGAAGATTCTTAGGGAATATTTTAATACAAGACACAGAAAATAACAGCATGGTTTAAAAAAATTGCGTAAAATGGTATTAAACTAATCAGAGTAGTAATAAAGTGAAATGCTGTTCTGAACACAGTAGTGAACCTTCCGTTATCAAGAATTATAGAGATTTTCTTGATTTCGTGTAAGAATATCAGTTTCTCGAGAATGATATAAAAACAATCGAAAACTTTTTTTTTAAATTAAACGTCTTTTAGAACTGCATCTTGTTCCATTATATTCGTGAAATACAGCATTCACCGCTCTAATTTTGCCTTTCGAAATAATTCGTAATTTTTTGAGCGTGTACTCGCCTTTAATGCATATCCTCTTAAAGCAGTTTCAGTTTGCTTCTATAACCTCACAAACGGTGGCAGCACCAGATTGTGATCCCAGAAAACATTAAATTTTCTTTTATGTCTTGCAACTGTGCACTCAACTGTACTCAGTCGCTGTTTATGTGAACTATTAACTCAGCACCGTCAGTCATAAATCCCAATACGCTAATTCTGTTATTTAAAAATGAGCATGAAGCTCATTTTAAACCTTCCTACAGAATTTATAAGTACCGGACGCCTCCCAAATATAAAGTTCCTTTGTTCATAACAGCAAAATCTGCATCAAGGGGTGGATAAAATTGAACATACGTATCTAATTTTCCTTGTAGTATGCCTAGCAAAATTTTAAACAAGTGTAATTACTTTATTTATTTATCTATTTCTGTACATATTTCTCACAGTCTGGGAACAAAAAATTTCTGAGACGTAACTCGAAATGTCCTTACAGTTATCATTGATTATTGTTCAAAAACGAATACGTTTTGATGCAAAATGTGAGACATTCTTATGATCTGGGCCTATACTAATCAAATTTCTAGCTGCAGTTCATTAACAGACATTTTCATTTCATATTCTCCCCTTACAATAACGAAACAAGTCAAATTATGTTAGATATTTCAGTATTACAACTCTGAGTTCATATTTTGTCTTCTGAGTCATTGTGCTGTGGTACTCTCTGATTATACGCCACTGCCGCCTTCGTCAAGGCTAGAATTACCTCAATATATATTTCCTAAACAGGACACGGGATGTCAAAAGATTCTAAATTTTATTTTTCCGTCTTCCATTTAACCACTTTTTAACTTGTTCGTAAATATTACTACTTATTTGTTACGCTTCAATTGTCGAACATACATATCTCTACGTGAGTCTAAATACATATTCTATTCCGAATATAATAGCCAATGTCCGTCACGCTTCAGCGTACGCGTGAGATGTGTGTGCGGTGCGGAAAAAATCAAGTTCTGACGGTGACGACTCTGGTAACAAGAACTACAAACGAGGCGATAATTCTGCAATCAATTGTAACCTTATTCAACACAATAAAAAAGTTTGTTCCCGTCAACCCTGACGGGTCATATTACGCTAGCAAATATATAACATAGTCAAGAAATTTTTGTCAGTCAGTCGAGACAGAGACCGATTCCGAAACGTCGGAATTTTACGCCGTACTGATGCAAGTTTCTAAAGAAAATTATATTGGAGAAAATAACACATTTTGATCTCAACTAATGTATCTTTTCATACAGCAAATCCGGAGAAATTATTGGCCAAATGATGACGTCAATAAATTTGATGAAATACCTTGCTACATTCAGTATACCACTAGTTGTTTCAAAAGCCAAAAAGTTTCTCTGAAATCTATCAGTTCTGTAACAAGTTCTAATTGTAACATTCGTTCTCCTCTGTTTCCTTTAGTGTTTTGTGGTATTTTTTAACATCGTGAGAAGAATGGAAAATTAATGTTAAATCTCAAAATTATCCGCGGAGCGACTATACAATTCGGATGTTTCCGCTGCTTTATCGTCACGAGAAGGCGGAAACACCCGAGCGCCTGGGGAAGCTACGAGCGAACCGGGACACCCAGAACCAACACAGACTCCGCGACGCTTCGGCCACTCAGACGCCAAGCGTCTGATTTTCGTTTCACGGATAAATTTGCTTTCGGAGTTTGTGTTATTTAGTGTGCGAACAAAATATATGTTTTAATGTTAATAAATAAATTTTCTGGCGATGTATTTACTGTGTCATAAAGTGATAAACTGATGTTATTTCTGAAAAATGCTAAGTAGTACTCAACTACGAAATTAAATGAAAACTATAACGTCACGTAAAATAATGTTGATAAACAGTGATTAAGTTAATGTCACTTATGATATTTGTATATTAAGTACTGAAAACATACGCCAAGACAAAATGCAAGATAGAAACTTTCTAATTTCCCACGTGAATGAGTTAACAAAAGAACCAGTGCCAAATTTCTGCCTACGTTGTCAAGATAAGTGGTATTTAGGACGACACGTGACTTTGTAAGAAATGTTAACACACTTCTCTAAACTATCAGACATTTTCCGAGGTAAATTTTTATTCCATGGGGACAGAAAGGACTGAATAACAGCCAGAGATAAGCGACAATCAATATTAACACTAATACGTGACTGATTCATTTATCTGAATTCAATCTAAAGAACAGTGTTTTTGAAGTGAAAGTTAATGCAACAAATTCATTTGTTTTACGAAAATGTACACGTCTTAACGTCTAAAACAGTGTGTTATTGTGTTTGTGAAAAAGTGTAATATGTCGTTTCATATCCGAAACAGATATCAGTGTAGAGAATCAAGGAAAATCATGTCGTGTATCCTAGCGATTTTACTACGAAATATATCAAGTATTTTGAATGTGACTGACATCACCTTGGTTAAGTGACAAGAAAGTTTTAGAAGTGCTCCATATTTAAGTATTGACTAGAAACTCCAAACTGAATACACAAATTTTTTTGTGAGTAAGCATATCATTTATAATTCAAGCTTAACATTCGTGTGTACTAAAAGACAATGTTTTCTCTCACGTCTCTCCATTAGCGATAATTTTTTAACACAAGATCCTGTAGAAAACTTTAAGCGGACTGCACATGTCATCACGCAATTTATGTTAAAGAAACAGAAGACCACGAAGATTAAAGACATTACAATAAGCTGAATATATGAGCAGGCACGAACTCGTATTCATTTATGTGATAAAAAAAGGTTACACGAGTTAGTAAAGTGTAGACAAAAACTTCCAAGAAAATAAGCAGCTTACCAAATTAGTGAACCAATTAAGGACGTACAAATTCTCACACAACGTTCAAGGAAATATTAAGTAGTTGTACCAGCCATAGCCTACCACAAAGACACACTAAGAAATGAAATAAATATAATTGTTCGGCCTTTATTAACAACGTGAAATATAAATGTGGGCATATATTTGTTTCCAAGTTATTTTTATAAAACTGTTGTTAAATCCATGTGTGCAAAAGAAGATATCTAAACTATTTCTATATTATTTCGTCCAGAAGTAATAAAATTCATTTCAAATGAAATAAATGCATAGGCTCGCGAAATTTAAAATCATATTTGATCGATGAAAACATTTAACGTAAGAAATTCACTAACAATTGCGTTAACATTTCATGACTACAATTTCAGTTCTTTGTTCTTCGTACGTTATTCCTTGCGGTAAACAATGTTCAACAAATGAATATTTATCAGTGTGGTGCCCATCTCTAGAAATAACCTAGAACAATTGACTCAGTACAATAACCGATATAAAAATGCACACAAAGTATAGACACTTTTTTTCAAAATTTGATTCGCGGAAATATTAAAAAGTGAAAAAATAACGGGTTTTTAAAACTTTGTAGCAGTGGAGTAGTAGAAATTATTCTCGTATATTCCAGGATATCAGCATTGTTTATAAATCTAACTTATTCTAAATTCTCTATTGTACAAACTTTTCAACTTTTGGTCATTTTTAGACATCAGTTCTGAACTGCGTAGTATTCGCGTAGTATGTTAGAAGTCATAGAAATTCAATTTTTAAATGTAACTGAATTGTCTTTAATTTTTTAACAGTAATAGTCACTAGAATAAATTATTTCTTATTACAATTACCGTTATTTGTTAAAACAAAGTAACCTCTGCTCATAAAGTAATTTAATATTTTTTTTTAGAAAACGACAATGGATCCAGATAATTTTATTAACACACACACAATTTCAGTAAACAGTAAGAACTTTAATAAAACAAATGACAAATTCTACAGCGGTGTTGCAAAAATCGATTCAACAAAAAACAATATTCCCGGATACAACTCGACAATTACAACTACTCCTGCAACATTAAGCCCGATGTTCATAAACAATACAACCCAAAGCTGGGTAGAAACACTTCTGGCATCTGATGACGACGAACAGGAAGACACTTGGGAAGATTCCTTAATAATCGCTTTGAAATCTTCTATTATGGGTTTCATAATAATGGCTGCTTTATTTGGCAATCTTTTGGTTATTGTGAGTGTCATGAGACATCGTAAACTCCGAGTTATAACTAACTACTTCGTAGTGTCGTTAGCACTGGCGGACATGTTAGTGGCGCTGTGTGCCATGTGCTTTAACGCGAGCGTCGAGCTGACGGGTGGAACGTGGTTGTTCGGATATTTCATGTGCGACGTGTGGAATTCCTTGGACGTCTACTTTTCCACGGCGTCCATCCTACACCTCTGCTGCATAAGTGTGGACCGCTACTACGCAATAGTTCAGCCTCTGGATTATCCTTTGATCATGACACATGGAAAGTTGGCTATAATGCTGGCAGTTGTATGGTGTTCGCCTGCGCTGGTTTCATTCGTTCCAATATTCATGGGTTGGTACACAACTGAAGAACATCTTGAGTTCCGTATGAAACATCAAGACGTCTGTGGATTCACCGTCAATAAACCGTACGCAGTCATATCTTCAAGTGTTTCTTTCTGGGTCCCTGGCGTCATAATGATCTTCATGTATTATCGCATTTACGTGGAGGCTGATCGTCAAGAGCGGATGCTTTACAGGTAAGACAACGTCTCTACAGCTTTCTTACATTTAGTTACAAGCATGTAAAGAAATAGTGACTTTATATTTATTCAATATAAGTAACCGGGTATTAGCTAATCACCAATTCAGACTCGCTAAATTCCTGCGGTAATATATTGTAATTTACGGACGTAATTATTCAGACTGCTCATTGTCGAATGGAATAATTCCAAAATAATATATATAAAAGATAGAAAATGAAGCGAATAGTCGGACTGAGGCCGAAAATTGTGCCCAGGACCTCCATAACATTAAGTACAAACATTAGATCGTCTCCTTCGACGTTCATTCGATATTTGACTTGTATACTTGAATAATGCTAACAGTATATCGATATTTCGATATGGTGTTATGTCAGTACGTCCAAACACTGGGCAGTCAACGATCGCGTATTGTCTCAGATGCCTGTTTGAATCTGAGTACTTACATCGGTTTAAAGTTTCACTGCGATTACATTTACAGATTTTTCCACAAAGTGTAAAAATATGACAGTTGTTATCAATGTATATCACTGACAGTTAATTCGTTCATTACCAAAGATTTGGGGTTTCAATTACGGACTGTGTTCCTCTGTTAGATTCCATTTTAATTCCAGTGTTAACACGTAATTTGTTAGCATCCTAATTACTTTTCCCCTTGTTGTCAGATCAGGTGTGTTATGTGGAGAAAATACATTATTTAGAGAATGAAGGCGACATCTGTTTCTACGTGTTGTTTACGTAACGTATACAAGATGGAACGCGTATGTGAGACGATATTTCAGTTCATCTGTCCACATGATTCATCTCAGATAACACAAAACACATTTCGATCAAATTTCGTACAAATGAAATTTGCCAAGCTAAAATAATACTTCTATTTTTGGTTCCAACATAATTTATATATGTTATAATTAAGGCATCTGGCACCTTTGGAGTCGTGGCTTTAATAATAATTATTACGATTATCAAGTTCCAGCAAATTCAAAGATCACAGGTTTCAATTGTAAGGGACAGTTATACGCAGAGCTTGATGCTTAGAATACAAGTAGCACTGAAGACTTCGCCCTCAAACGAGGATTGCTTCCTGGTTATTATATAACAAATGTGGTCACTACAGTTTTCGTCTGAAGCACTTTAATGGCTGAAACTCACAGGCCATTAATTTTGATCCCCCCCCCCCCACGCTAACCGAGTTATAAGAACAGTGGACAAATGAAAGTATTTAATAAATTACGAACATGGTATATAACGAATGGTTTCGTGGTAGAGTTAAAATTAATGTGAAGTCCGAAATGGAATTTTCTTATGAAAGAAATAGCGTTTCCATGGCATTTCTTCGAAGGCAGAAAGGAGTGCATGGTGTAAAAGTAATCAGGTAGTGCCGGTAACACAGCTGACTTCACGCCAGTCCCATCCTGTCATGTGCCCTGTGCAATAAAACACTTCCCCCCCCCCCGTATTCGTGTCTTGAATTCTTCTGTAAGATGGCGGGGGGTTCCCTTCTCACGTACGGTTGGTTATTGGAATCGAGAGAAATGAGGAAAACGAAGGAGAAAAATTTCCACCAGAAACTTTCACGAACTAACCAATATCTAAAGCACTGATATGGTAGAAGTTAATCTCCTACTGATGTATTCTTAACGATTCGTTTCCTGAACTAATACATCTGTCAAAATAAGTTATAGAACGGCAGTACCAAGAGAAAATTACAAGAAATGTCTGGTTTCTGTAACTCTGGTCAATTTAAGTGAGAACAATACATATAGCACATGTGGAAAAAAGGCATTGGAATAAATTCAACAAAGCACAGAAATTGTTTTGGGTACAGACCTTTGGTATTCAGTGTATGACAACAAACACTGGATGTAAACAAACACAGTATGACAACAAACACTGGATGTAAACAAACACTGCATGACAACAAACAATGGATGTATACAAACACTGTATGACAACAAACACTGGATGTATACAAACACAGTATGACAACAAACACTGGATGTAAACAAACACTGCATGACAACAAACAATGGATGTATACAAACAATGGATGTATACAAACACTGGATGTAAACAAACACTGCATGACAACAAACAATGGATGTATACAAAC